AACTCGTCGTTGTTTGTTTAACAGCCGAAGGGGGCAAACGCCACGGTCACGAGAGTTGCTATGCAGCACACAGATACAAATTATTCACTCTAAACTGACAGAAATCCTTGCCTGTTCAGACTCTGCTTCGCGAATGGCTGGAAATTTTCAGTGGTTTTATTTATCTTTGAAACTGTATCACAGTTGGTGGCGGGGTGGGTGGTAGGTGAATATATGTGTGGAGGAATTGAGAAGACTCGTGTAGTTTTCTCTATTTTGAGGCATATGTGTCGCAGGTACGCTGTCAGCCTTACTCTGAAAGACCAAGTACACAGAGCCAGAGTACGCGCAATGTTATTGTATTGGTTTGAAACGTCGCCAGTTCGTGTTTAGGCCGCTTTATCGCTTAGACGTTCGATAACCGCAGTCTGCGCACAATCGCTCGCGTGTGGTGAGAACAAATGAAATGACTAACTGCACTTGCAAATATGAAGTCCTGGAAGTTCTCTTCCGCGCCCGAAAAAAAAACATAATCTTACCACTTCACATTGGATGGTTTGGAGAATGCCCGTCCAGCACTCACCGCTACACTCACTGATCAGGTGAACCGAGCACCATTGATAGAAAAAGGGGGGAATGCCAAATTGGAATGAAGAAACTAACGGAACCTCTCGTGTATCGACTCTCGCTAGCTTACAGGATAGAGCTCGGAGTCGCAAAGGTCTTTGGATGAAAAACGCTAAAGTCATGGTTCTCAACTTGTAATATATATATATATATTACAAGTTGAGAACCATGACTTTAGCGTTTTTCATCCAAAGACCTTTGCGACTCCGAGCTCTATCCTGTAAGCNGAGAGTCACATGGTTCTGAGTCAGATGACAACGACGCTGCATGTCACCGAAATACTCCTAAAAGAAGTCTTACTAGTTCTACATACTTCAAATTGTACATTCCGCGGTGTGGGATACACAATCCGCATGCCTATGACAACCGCTTTCCAGGATGAGGCTCCATTTGTTTGTCGTGTTTCCACGGTTCTTTCATCAACAGATCCAATTTTTAGGGGACTCGCAATCATCTACATCAATCTTGGGATATCGTTCACTTGCTACCGTTCTAAAAATAGCGTGTGGACCTGCCGCAGGCAGAGTACTGAGTTACTGTTTCCGCATATTCACCACTATTTCCGGAGGTGCATTCAGAGTTATTTCTATGAACCTTTTTCCGTTAGATAATCAGTTACTTCATCTACTCCTCTTCTTTTCGTGCTCCTTATGCTTCATGAAGCTCCGTATCGATGCGTTATTTCTGTGCTTTTGCCGACAGTACAGCGATGAAAAGTTAACAGAAGAGCCAAAATCTTAGCCTCCGAGTCCGTTTTGATTCGTATGCTAACAGAAAACAGATGAAGCGAGAGTCTTGATCATCGCATGTGGAGGGTTCGATCATCAATCTCAGTGCTAGCTGTGTTGCACTCCTTATTGTGTTCAACAGTAGCGCTGAGGTTTAACACGCGGTCCTACCATGTTATGGTTTGGAAAATCCGGAGACTGAATCCCTTGAACTTTGGGGAGTGATTAACTCCATCTCTTCCCCGGATATAACCGCGCCAGGTTTTGTAAGATATTTTATTTTTTTTCGAATCTGACACACGTCCCCTCCAGAGTACTAACAGATTTGATTCCGGTGAATAATACAATGTTAGTAACACAGCGATGTCGGTAGAGAATTGTCTACCAATTCTCTACCGACATCACTGTGTTATTAACATTATAACATTCACAATGAAACAGCACACGGCGCATCGATTTTTCGATACACTCCTAACATCATTTGGTCCTGACGTATTAAGCTTGATTCTCCTTTTCTTCCCCCACTTGTTTTATAACATATATTGAAACATACGTTTACCAGCACCTCAACGAATTGGATGCTCTTGTCCAGTGAATGTGACCGGGCTGGGGTGCACTTTTATCCATCTATCGGACCTGGTTACGATGATCAATCGGTACGACCGTGGAATGAACGTGGCACTGTCGATCGCGAGGACGGCGCCTACCTCCAACGTTTGATTGCTAAACTTCCCCTGGAACGCACAGCCGGTGTGGGGATTACCTCGTTCAACGAATGGCACGAAGGGACACAAATTGAACCGGCCGCGATAACCGTTCGTCCAACCTATTCTGATTACAGTCCATTCTCCGAGGAATACTATCTGCGCTTATTGCGCAAATTTGTCAATCACTTTGTCGGATTTCACCAACTCCCATGGGGTTTCGAACAAACAACGAAGTCCGAACTGGATGCGATTGAACAATTCTAGACCAGCATTCGCCTTGTTTATTCGGGTCTGTGCAAACGGACATCCAAATGCAATCAGCTGATCGGATCTGGTATTTTTTTCTTAACTTTTGTTTTGCACTTAACTCCTTTTCCAGTTCTACTCATTCTCATTTCTCCCGTTGGTTCACCCTGTTTGCTCCTTTCATTTATATATAGATATACGACTTGTTAACTTCTGTGATTTTTGTACAGCATTCTCCTATTGGGGTTGCTCATGAACAGCATTCCAACCCCCCACCTCAAGGTTTTTTTAAACGAATGCCTGTTCAGATGTATCCCGGTTGGGAGATCTTATTTCTCATTAGTGTTTCTTTTTCGATGCATGATATCTCTTGTTGCTTTTTCGCCACCGCCCTATCTCTCGGTTGCTCTACGAACATCAAATAAAATGTTTCAAACCACGCATCTGTGGTGGTACTTTGGCACTATTATCTTCGTTGTTTGTCATCGAATTTGACCCGCCCCCCCCCCACCCGGCTGGGCCCACTGGTAGGGAACACACAGTTTAACAAATTATCATAATTCCTAACGTGTTCTGTAACTTCAAACAAATATGAACGGTTCCCTATAGGACCGAATCCGGAGGGTGTCAGAAAAGCAACTCTAAGCGAGATTTTAACCAAGATTAAGTACGTTTGATGTTAACGGTCGGATGCTTAACGAATGTGATTAATGTGCGGTCACTAATGGTACCTGCAGTTACAAGGAATATGTGGGTACGACGGGTCGATCAACTTGAAATGGGATTAACTACAGATGGGGCCTAAAACTCGGTACGTTTCGCGGGACCTAGTCGGATCCATCAATTGAAGCGCTAGTGCTAACAGATATTGGACACGGGGTAGCATCGAAAGCTCGTGACCTTGTGGGCACTGAAGCAAATGATGACTGGGATATCACTATCAGTTTGTACGTTAGGGCACGGTGTTCACTTCTGGCGAGCAATAGTTTCGATTCGGTTTGGCTGTCAATGGCCAGGTGTACAATCTTGGTGATTGGCAGTCGCGCTGTTGTCCGGTTTAATACCACGCCCAACCCAGTAAAGACCCAATGCGGCCCGCCACCCCAGGGGCTGGAGTTTCCGGTTTCTATGGTTCAAAGGTTTAGACAATC